GTAATACAATGATATTTTAAAATAAAGAAGGATTTTATGATTACACATTTATGTTTTACACCAAATACACTAAATTCAGAATCGATAGACCAAAACTGTTTCCACATAACGTGTTAAACGTTCTTTGCGACAACAATAGAAAAAAAATACAGAATCTATATGTTATAGTGACTATATTATACGATATGTGTGAGCTGTAAAAAAAATGCAATTGTAATTATAAAGTTTGAACTTATAGAAAAAGAGAATAAATAAATATACAAAAAACAATAGTCCTTTAAACCCATAGAAAAATGACAAGGTTTTAGTAGTATAATCACCGACGAGGGGAGCATGTGTGGACAAACCTTTAACGAGTGTAAAACACAATAATAGACGAACTAATTGATATTCAAATATTCTAATCATCATCCTTAGGACCTGTAATATAGATATTATCCAATTATATATTTACAGTGAACATATTCATATTATATCTATCTTTGACCCCAAAAAAAAAAACGAATCATCATTTTCATACGGGTGATACAATGCAATAATTCTCAAGTATATTTGCAATTAACATAATCACAAACACATAAGAAATAAAATAAGAATTAATTACTAGAATAGACTATTCTAATTATTAGAATAGTCTTGACAAAATATCAAAATATTAAGAAAGAATTTAAAAGACATATAAATCAATGTTATGTTTTGTTATTACAAAAATGTCATTTTGACTTAAAAAAAAATATATGAAGAATTTGTTTGAAGCGGTCGCGGAGGCTGCGGAGACACCGGAGGCGCGCGCGGCGGAGGTGTGGAGGCTGAGGAAGCATCGGAATTGAGATAAAATCGGATTAAAAATCATAAGGTGAAAAAAAAACTCAAAATCTTTTGATTTTTGATTAGAAAAAGGATATATGATGTTAGATCTACTAGTTTTARGYTAAAMCYAGTTGAAAACAAGTTAMAATACAGTARAAACGAGCTAAAAAGTTGTTGGCCGCCATTGTTGTCGTTTGACAGCTTTTGGGTTGGTGGAGAAGATGAACGGTAAATTACGATTTTACCCTTTTTGAATAAGTYWACCACTACTATAAAATAAGTCTACCACATATTATAAATCTACCACTACTACAAATAAGTCTACCACATATTGTAAATCTACCACTATTTCAAGTAAGTCTACCACCTACCACAACAAGTCTACCATGCCGCTTATTTTTTAAATCTACCAGTACGCTTATCCGAATCTAAACAAGTCTAT